TTCAAACAGCCCACCTAGGAAGGGAAGGAGAGGAAACTAGCAGGGTGATTAGAGGACTAGGAATGAGGTTTCAAAATGGGAGAAACTTGAGTCAGTTTTTTCTTTCTTTTTTTTTTTTTGAGTCCAGGTCCCACTCCATCACCCAGGCTGGGGTGCAATAGTACAATCATAGCTTACTGCAGCCTTAAACTCCTGGGCTCAAGTGATCCTTGCACCTCACCCTTTCAGTAGCTGTGACTACAGGTGCATGCCCCAAACCCAGCTAATTTATTTTTATTTTTGTAGAGACAGGATCTTGCTATGTTGCCAGGGCTGGTCTCAAACTCCTGGCCTCAAGTGATCCTCCCAGTTCAGCTTCCCAAAGTGCTGGGATTTTAAGTATGAACCACCATGCTCAGCCAGTATATTTATTCTTTTTGTTGTTGTTCTTGTTGTTCTAATGAGCCAGGTTCTCACAAAATCTGATATTTATTCTTAATAAGGGCATGGTGGCTCACCCCTGTAATCCCAGCACTTTGGGAGGCCGAGGTGGGTGGATCACAAGGTCAAGAAATTGAGACCATCCTGGCCAACATGGTGAAACCCCATCTCTACTAAAAATACAAAAATTAGCTGGGTGTGGTGGCGTGCACCTGTAGTCCCAGCTACTTGGGAAGCTGAGGCAGGAAAATCGCTTGAACCCGGGAGGCAGAGGTTGCAGTGAGCCGAGACTGCGCCACTGCACTCCAGCATGGGTGTCAGAGAGACTCTGTCTCAAAAAAAATAATAAATAGGTCGGGCACAGTGGGTCACACCTGTAATCCTAGCACTTTGGGAGGCCGAGGTGGGTGGATCACGATGTTAACAGATCGAGACCATCCTGGCTAACGTGGTAAAACCCCATCTCTACTAAAATACAAAAAACTAGCCAGGCATAGTGGTGCACGCCTGTAGTCCCAGCAACTCAGGAGGCTGAGGCAGGGAAATTGCTTGAACCCGGGAGGTGGAGGTTGCAATGAGCCGAGATTGAGCCACTGCACTCCAACCTGGCAACAGAGCAAGACTCCATCTCAATAATAATAATAATAATAAATAAGGAGAGACTATTTGCCTGGCATTAGGGATCTAAACTAGAATGACAGTCATAGCAGAGATTAGTTCAATGTTTCCTTTGATTCCTTAATATTAACTCCAAATAATGTAGTCAATTTTTCCCAATATTCCATATTTACATATTACCTTCTTCATTGGTCCAAATTGAATTTTTTTTTTTTTGAGACAGAGGCTCGCTCTGTCACCCAGGATGGAATGCAGTGGCATGATCTTGACTCACTGCAACCTCTGCCTCTAGGGTTCAAGCAATTCTCATGCCTCAGCCTCCTGAGTAGCTGGAACTACAGGTATGCACCACCACGCCTGGCTACTTTTTGTATTTTTAGCAGGAATGGGGTTTCACCACGTTGGCCAGTTGGTCTCAAACTCCTGACCTCAGATGATCCACTCGCCCTGGTCTCCCCGGCCCCCAAACTGAATTTTTATCAATGGTCACATTCTACGTTAATTTATCAAACATTACTAAGTACCAGTGACTGCTAGGGGCTAGGAATACAAAGTTAAAAGAGACCTAGTTTCCTTCCTGGAGAAGCTAAATCTCTAGTGGGTAACTGACATGAGTGCCAGTACTTCCGGGTTCACTCAGTGTTGTACATGTACTGTGTCATGTAATCCTCACAACAAACACTCGAGGAAGCTGGAATTATCCCCATTTCATAAGTGAACAAAACCAGCCTCAAAAAAGTTAACTGATCTGCCCCAGGTAAGGGACCTGAAATTAGAACCCAGGTTCTTAGGCTATAATACTAATACTTTCTCATCTTGCAACTCCTACCTTCAGAAAGATGACCCTGTGGAGACTACCTGGTCACTTGCTCAGATGCTTGGTCAGCAGAACTGGGCTTTAGCATACTTGAGAATAGTTGACATCAGGCATCACATCTAAAATTGCCGTCTAAATTTAAAAACCAGCTTTTATGCCCTCTGCTGCCTGGATAATGTAGCCTGCAGGGCACAAAGACCATGTTTTATTTATCATGAGCCCAAGTACTATGTTTTATTTAGTGTTATACTTGTCCCCCTCCGCTTTATATAGTGCTTTTAAATACTTGCTCCTTCAGCATTTGTGCAGATTCATTCACTCACCTAATTTCATAACCCTGATAAGTTTTGAATGTAATCTAGGGCAGCAGTAAAAAAAACTTCAAATTTAAACAGTGAAAGAGTATGGGGGCAAAGGGTTTCACAGAATAGCTTTTTGAATTAAGGTATTTACTTTAAAAAAAATGTATGAACCTCAAGATACTTCTGTGCTGTGAAATTTTTACCAGATGGTAATAACATGGCTGGGTGTAGTGGCTCATGCCTGTAATCCCAGCACTTTGCACGGCAAGGCAGAAGAATCACTTTAGCTCAGGAGTTTGAGACCAGCTTGGGCGACATAGTGAGACAGTCTCTATTTTAGAATAAAAAATTAAAAATAATTTTAAAAAATACCAACAAGACAAAGCGTGTCTAAATGTACTTTCCAGAAATGTCTCATTGGATCCTTAAAACTATCCTTAAGAAAGGTAAGGCAAATGTATTATAACCCCTAGTGCACTGCTGAGGAAAGAGTACCTTAGAAAAGTTAAGTGACTTGTTCAGGATAATCAGTTATACTGGATTTCAAGGGCATCCTAACTTTAAATCTCTTGTTTGCTCCATTACGCCTTTGCCTCACCTGGATAACCTTTCTTTACCAAAACAGTAAAGGTGCAATAAAACATGAGAAGCTGAAGTGCTATCAACAAATAGGAAAAAAGTGATGACTACAGAGGGGTACTTGTTCTTGGTTGGGGAGTACAAGTATAGCTCAAAAGTGTTCCTACAGAAATCCCTTTAAATGTTGCCTATTGCGAGAGTGTGGGTAAGGACACTCACAGATTGTTGGTAGGAGTGCAAAACAGCACATCCTTTCCAAAGGGAAATTGAGCAATTTACGTTTAAAAAAAAAACCCTTATGTGCATACTCTGCCCAACAATTCTATCATCTAGGAATGTACACTAAGAAAGCGCGGTGGCTCACGCCTGTAATCCCAGCACTTTGGGAGGCCGAGGCGGGTGGATCACGAGGTCAAGAGATCGAGACCATCCTGGTCAACAAGGTGAAACCCCGTCTCTACTAAAAATACAAAAATTAGCTGGGCATGGTGGTGCGCGCCTGTAGTCCCAGCTACTCGGGAGGCTGAGGCAGGAGAATTGCTTGAACCCAGAAGGTGGAGGTTGTGGTGAGCCGAGATCGTGCCATTGCACTCCAGTCTGGGTAACAACAGCGAAACTATGTCTCAAAAAAAAAAAAAAAAAAGAAAGTAATCATGGGCCAGGCACGGTGGCTCACACCAGTAATCCCAGTACTTTGGGAGGCCAGGGCGGGCGGACGGCCAGACGTCAGGAGTCCGAGACCAGCCTGGCCAACATGGTGAAGCCCCATCTCTACTAAAAATACAAAAATTAGCCGGGCATGGTGGTGCAAGGCTGTAGTCCCAGCTAGTCGGGAGGCTGAGACAGGAGAATTGCTTGAATCCAGGAGATGGAGGTTGCAGTGAGCTGAGACAGCACTACTGCACTACAGCCTGTGCGACAGAGTGAGACTCAAAAGTAATCACGGATATGCAGACTTTACATTTGCCCAACAATGTATTTAAATAGGGAAGAACTGAGAATAACCAATGAAATAAATTATAATATTATAGCCATGCTATCTAGTAAAAAAAATGATTAAAAAAGAGAATTTACTTTAGAAAAACTCACATATTAAGCTCTGCATAGAAAAAGACAATGGTTACTTGGAATGGTGAAACAATGTACCTTCATTGTGATTTCTATCTTAGAAATGTGTATAAATGGCTTACTAAATGTTTCTATATATAAAAATGTTTCTAATAAGACGTTTTAAAGATTTCTTGGGAGTGACTGAAACAGCTGTGATTTCAAAAGAAAATTTTAGTAGCCATTTAAAAAACCATTAAAAATAAAACATTACTATACCATTACCATTAAAATACCATTGAAAAATAAAGCCCTCGTTATGACTCCACAGCAAAACCTTTTCTTTTCAAATTCTGGTCTGTCGATTGGACCTGTTCACATTCAGAAAAAATGCTAAAAAGGCTGCCTGGCCAGGAGCCTAAAGAGGCCTTCCTGATTTCTACCTGCAGTTTGTAATTTGTTCCCGGAGAAAAAAAGCAATCACCTAAGCAGCAGTTCGAAAAGCACCTGGGTAGGAAAATATTTACGGGGTAAGTTTCTCTCCCATTTCTCTCCCTCGAGACCTACCAACAGGACGGTCCTGACAGCGACTGGCCCAGTTTCCCAATACAACCTAGAGAAGCACAGGGGATGTGCCAATTTTTAGTAGACGTTTCTAAAAACGCAAGTTTTACTTTACAATGCAGGATAAAGAGCAGCCTTCACTGCTCATTCTAGATGTTAGCAGAGGAAGATGCCGCTGAGCGGTAGGAGCTCCTCACCAGGACAAAGCGGGGTGCGGGGGGTCCTCGGCTCAGACCCCGCAGGCAACGCCTCCAGGGCCGCCTCGAGAACAAGGGCACTGTCCCCGGACACCGCCTCCCCGGCCCCCGCCCTCTTGACAGACGCAGGGAACCGCGGGGACCGCAACCTGCCCAAAGACGGCGGAGGATCAGGGTCGCGGCAGCAGGTGCCCAGGTCGCCGCCCCTGTCGAGGGACCTCAGGGCGCCGGGCAGCTGTCCCCTGGGAACCCGAGCAGGGTCGCCGCGCCCGAGGGATAGCGCTGACCAAGGGACCTACGGGGCGCAGAGGAGCTGTCCCCAGGGAACCCGAGTTGGACCGCCGCATCCTCCCCGCTGCCCCAACCTCCACCCCGAGAACCGCCCCTCCCGGGTGGCGGACACGCCCTCCCTGCGGGCCCAGGCCTCTTCGCCCCGCCCCCCACCCAGCCGCTCACCCGGCCGGGAAGTCCCCTCCGCCGTCACCGCCGCCGCCGCCGCCGCCAGCCCCTCGGGCCTCGCCCCTCACTCTGCCGCCGCCTCCCACAGCAGCGGCAACCCAGCCGCCTCTGCCGGGCCGTGGGACCCGGAACCACTTCCTTCCGGAACCGCCTCGCCCCGCCCCCGCCCTGGCCCTTCCCACTATTCGCGGCCTCGCGCTGAGCCGGTTCTGCCGCGAACCCCGATCCTCCACTCTCTCGGCTAGGGTGCCCCGCCCGGGCTGCTAGGGCCAGAGCGCTGCGCCCCCTGCCGGCTGTTCCCACCACGGCCGCTCTGACCAGGGCGCCTGCGCCCTCTGCCACCCGCCTGCCGTGTCCGGCTAAGGCGCCTGCGTCCTCTGCCGCCCTCCTGCCGGGAAGAAGGAGACCTAATGAGCGTTCCAGGTGCAGGGATCATGGGGGTTAAGGCCCAGGGATTGGAGTTCACCGCTCAGTCACGGGCAGAACTTGGTCCCGTGGGCCTTCCAGCTTTGTGCAAATCTCTAACCATTCGCCTACCGTCTAACCATTTCCCACGGCCTCAAATTAAGCATATTCCGAGAAGACAAAGCCTCCCCTCTGGATTTCGCAAATGGTTGCATGGTACCAACATCTATCCATCATCCAATTCAAACTCATCTCTGTCTACTCGCTTGGTTTCTGTCCTCCCGCATTCCATGCACCAGCCCCAAAGGTAGTGTGTCTTCTTCACTCTTGAAGCTTTCCGCTTGACACTGATATTCTTTCTTCCCCTTGTGAAATAGCTCTTTCAGGCTGTATGCCATCTGGTAGTAACACCTTTTGGCCTCCTGTATCACTGTCACCTACTGACTGCCTGGCATTAGTTTTCCTCTCCATCTGATTTACTGCCATCCTCCCAATGAATCAAAAATCCACAACTCAGCCTCGTTTCCTTCAGTTCCTTAATCCGGATAACCTTTATTTCTACTTTGTTCACCTGTAGTATAGAAAATCTAGACATTCATCATTTGATACTGCTCCATCTCTAAAGTCCTTATTTTTATCCGCCCCCCGAGACGGAGTTTCGCTCTTGTTACCCAGGCTGGAGTGCAATGGCACTATCTCGGCTCACTGCAACCTCCGCCTCCCAGGTTCAAGCGATTCTCCTGCCTCAGCCTCCTGAGTAGCTGGGATTACAGGAGCTGCACCACCACACCTGGCCAATTTCTGTATTTTTAGTAGAGACAGGGTTTCACCATGTTGGCCAGGGTGGTCTCAATCTTCTGACCTCATGATCTGCCTGCCTTGGCCTCCCAAAGTGCTGGGATTACAGGCATGAGTCACCCCACCCAGCCTTATTAATTAATTTATTTATTTAGAGACAGTATCTCTGTCATCCAGGTTGGAGTGCAGTGGTTCAATCTCAGCTCACTGTAAGCTCTACCTCCCGGGTTCAAGTGATTCTCCTGCCAAAGCCTCTTAAGTAGCTGGGATTACAGGCAGCACCACCATGCCCAGTTAATTTTTTGTGTGTATTTTTAGTAGAGACAAGTTTTCCCCATGTTGGCCAGGCTGGTCTCGAACTCCTGACATCAGGTGATCCTCCTGCCTCGGCCTCCCAGAGTGCTGAGATTACAGGCATGAGCCACCACACATGGTCTTTATTTATTTAGAGACGGAGTCTGGCCCTTGTAGTCCAGGCTGGAGTGCAGTGGCACCATCTCAGCTCAGTGCAACCTCTGCCTCCAGGGTTCAAGCGATTCTCCTGCATCTGCCTCCCAAGTAGCTGGGATTACAGGTGTGTGACACCACACCAGACGAGTTTTTGTATTTTTAGTAGAGATGGGGTTTCACCACGTTGGCCAGGCTGATCTCGAACTCCTGACCTCAAGTGATCTGCCTGTCTCGACCTCCCAAAGTGCTAGGATGCTGAGCCTTCAACTACTCTTGTTGTAAGCAGAGCCTCCTGCCTTGCCCTTTGACTTGGCCTAACATTAAACTACCACTTAAAAACTCCAGTCTACATTTTCCATTCCTACATTTCCAAACACTGCTTGGGTGAGGAGAAAGCCACACAACTATAAACGAATGATGTCACTACAAATTTATGGATGCTCCCCACAGTGAAGAGCCTGGCACCTCTTAATAATCACTTTGTGTGACCCTTTTGTGTGATCTCTCTTTTTGCCAATAATTGCTGTCACAAACCCTTACCACTCTTTTTAAGCCTTATATCAAGGATGATTTTCCTTTCTTCATACATGACTTTGCTTCCCATTTGGCAGAGAAAATTCTTTCGAACAGCGTAGAGACTTTTTCATTATCTATTATCTAGCCTCTCTTCCCCTTGTACACAATTCTCTGGCCATACTGAAGTTTATGCAATTTAAGAATAAATAGGCCGGGCATAGTGGCTCACGCCTGTAATCCTAGCACTTTGGGAGGCTGAGTCGGGCGGATCACGAGGTCAGAAGATTGAGACCGTCCTGGCCAACATGGTGAAACCCATCTCTACTAAAATACAAAAAATTAGCCGGGCATGGTGGACCACATCTGTAGTCCCAGCTACTCGGGAGGCTTAGGCTTGAACCAGGAGGTAGAGGTAGCAGTGAGCTGAGATGGCACCACTGTACTCCAGCCTGGCCACAGAGCAAGACTCTGTCTCAAAAAAAAAAAGAATAAATAATGCTTTTTCTTTCTGGTTAAGAGATGTGAGTCCTTTTTAACCTGCCTATATATGGCTTCAATTCAGAAACGTTTTCTTCTAGTCTGTCTTCAAGAACTGTTTCTGCTCCATTTGCTAGACTCTCCCTTTTTGGAAGAACAGTTAGCTGTATTCTCTGTTTCGTTATCTCTCTTTTTTTTTTTTTTTGAGACAGAGTCTCTCTCTTGTTACCCAGGCTGGAGTGCAGTGGCACGATCTCAGCTCACTGCAACCTCTGCCTCCTGGGCTGAAGCAATTCTCCTGCCTCAGCTGCCTGAGTAGCTGAGATTACAGGTGCCTGCCACCACGCCCAGCTAAGTTTTGTGTTTTTAGTGGAGACGGGGGTTTCACCGTGTTGGCCAGGCTGGTCTTGAACTGGTGACCTCAAGTGATCCACCTGCCTCAGCCTCCCAAAGTGCTGGGATTACAGGTGTGAGCCACCACACCCGGCCTATTTTATCATTTTTGTCTTTCATCCATTTCCAGCATTTCCAGTAGACTCAAGTTTGCTTTACTGATACTGATATGGCTTCCTAAAGCATTATTTCTATTTTGCCTCAAACTGTATTATTGAGAGTTTTGTTTCTTTATGTTTTCTCTCATTACTCTAGTAATCTCCATCTCACCCTTTCATTTCCTTATGAATTTCTGTTTTGTATAGAAAGCCTATCACATTTCAAAAGGATGCTGAACTGGTTGTGGAATTTCTTTTAGATTCTGCAGTCAATCCTTTTCAGAAGTATGCTTCTTTGGGCCAGGTGCGGAAGCTCACGCTGTAATCCCAGCACTTTGGGAAGTCAAGGCTGGCGGATCACTTGAAGTCAGGAGTTCAAGACCAGCCTGGCCAACATGGGGAAAACTCATCTCTACTAAAAACACAAAAATTAGCCGGGCATGATGGTGCACACCTGTAGTCCCAGTTACTCAGGAGGCTGAGGCAGGAGAATCACTTGAAACCGGGAGGTGGAGGTTGCAGTCAGCCAAGCTTGCACCACTGCACTCCAGTCTGGGTAACAGAGCAATGCTCCGTCTCAAAAAAAAGAAAGAAAGAAAGAAATAGGCTCTCTCATTACATATATATGTGTATATATATATGTACACACACACATACATATATACACACACATAGACATACATATTCATATATGCACACATATATGTACGTATGTATATCTGTGTATGTATATATATGTGTGTGTATATATACATAGACATATATATGCACACAGATGTATGTGTATATCTGTGTATGTATATATGTATGTGTATATATCTGTGTATGTGTATATATGTGTGTGTATATATCTGTGTATGTATATATATGGTATGTATATATGTGTATGTGTATATATGTGTGTGTATATATCTGTGTATGAATATATATGTGTGTATATATCTGTGTATGTATGTGTGTGTATATATCTGTGTGTGTATATATCTGTGTATGTATATGTGTGTGTATATATCTGTGTATGTATATATGTGTGTATATATCTGTGTATGTATGTATATATGTGTGTGTATATGTATCTGTGTATGTATATATATGTGTGTATATATCTGTGTGTGTATATATCTGTGTATGTATATATTTGTGTGTATATATCTGTGTATGTGTATATATGTGTGTATATCTGTGTATGTATATATGTATATCTGTGTATGTATATATGTATATATGTGTGTGTCTATATCTGAGTATGCATATATGTGTGTGTATGTATATATCTGTGTGTGTATATATCTGTGTATGTATATGTGTGTGTATATATCTGTGTATGTATATGTGTGTGTATATATCTGTGTATGTATGTATATATGTGTGTGTATATATATCTGTGTATGTATATATATGTGTGTATATATCTGTGTATGTATATATTTGTGTGTATATATCTGTGTATGTGTATATATGTGTGTATATCTATCTGTGTATGTATATATGTATATCTGTGTATGTATATATGTATATATGTGTGTGTCTATATCTGAGTATGCATATATGTGTGTGTATGTATATATCTGTGTGTGTATATATGTGTGTGTATCTGTGTATGTATATATCTGTGTATATATCTGTGTATGTATATATGTGTGTATATATCTGTATGTATATATTTGTGTGTATATATCTGTGTATGTGTATATATGTGTGTATATCTATGTATATATGTATATCTGTGTATGTATATATGTATATATGTGTGTGTCTATATCTGAGTATACATATATATGTGTGTGTCTATATCTGAGTATGCATATATATGTGTGTGTATATATGTGTGTGTATATCTGTGTGTATATATCTGTGTATGTATATATGTGTCTATATATCTGTGTCTGTATATATATCTGTGTATGTTTATATATGTGTGTATATATCTGTATGTATATATTTGTGTGTATATACCTATATGTGTATATATGTGTGTGTATATCTGTGTATGTATATATGTATATATGTGTGTGTC